TGATGGCCTAGAGCTGCAGCAACAGAAGATCCCATGGATTGAGGTTTCAGTTATTGTGGGTTCAGTTATTGTGGGTTCAGGGTTGTGACAAATTAATTCTATTTCCAAAGCAGCCCCTGAAGCATGATGTTTGTTAAGTCAGACTAACAGGAAGGTTCACTTTAACTGGGTGGCATTCAACTGAGAATCCAGGAAATGCTGAACATGTGGGTTTTTATTTATGAAAACGAGTCTATGGAAAACATAACTATAGATATTTCTCTAGAGCTTTTGAAAAGGAGACTTTTCCAAGAAGAACATTTACCTGGAATAAAAAACCAAAAGGATCCAGAGTCCTTGTGGCCAGTCTTGGGAACAAGACAAGATTCCAGGCCCAAGGAAGTTGAAATAAAGAACCCTCAATTCCCTAAGAGTAACTTCACTAAAAGTTGAGTGCACCAAGGCACTAATGAGTAAGGGAAAGTATTTGGGAGCTCAGATGAGGTGGAAAAATTCAATGGACATTTTATTTTATATCTCGCCCTAACATATGAAATACAGGAGGGTAACCCTTTACCCTTAAAATAAATATTATTTTATGTGTATCAGAAGCATTGTTTATATCCTCTTTCAACCACCTCCAAAATCCAAACTGCGGTTCAAATTTTGTATGTTTGTTTTTAAATATTCACCATTCTTGAGTTTAGGACCAGTATCCAGTTCCTAGAATTTTTTAATACCAAGAGCAATTAAGTTCATTTGTTTTACTTTGTTTCCTGTGCACACAAGTCACTCATTTAAAAATAATTTTTGGCATACAATGTAGTAATTGAGAAAAGAGACATATCAGATTTTGATATTTTTGTGAGTGACTTTCACCATATTTGGCCAGAAAGTTATATCAATTTTCAAAAAAAATTTTTTCGCATATATTTTATGCCAATGAGTAATGATATACTATAAGAAATTATATTTCTACATTATGGTATCAGGCAGGCAATCACAAACTGAGTTTATTTAATTTCAGTATGATGCTTGTTACTCCTGTAAATGTGTTTTTTCATGTCCAGTGGATCTTTTTGAACTATAAAAGCAGTTAATTGTCTTTAGCTGAGGGGAAGGCATGATATTTTCTTCAATAAAAAAGAAAATATTTTTGCATTTAATGGATTTTAACAAAATATCAGAGTTTTTATGAACAATTAAAAGCCATCATGTGAGGGTTAAGAGCATGTGAGTAAATAAGACAATTTTTGATCCTGAGTACTGATATTCGGTAGAGAAATGAGCCATTCAGAGAACAATACCTACACAATGAAAGAGAAAAGAATCATTTCAGTAGCTGATAAATTGTATAAAAGTCAGGCAGTGGCATGTGGTATCTGGAGGCTGAGGCCATTGTGCTGACCAGGGAAGGTCTGTTTCAATCATGAAGATGCATCTGAATGGTGAAGAGGCAGCCAAGTGACCATAGGAACAGCAAAGACCATGGAATCATTACAGGAGAGGCAGGGACTGGGAGATCTCCTAGGACACTACAGGAGAGGCAGGGACTGGGAGATCTCCTAGGACACTACAGGAGAGGCAGGGACTGGGAGATCTCCTAGGATTTTATTTCTTTCAGGATAAAATTTATCCTAATATCTTTCATCAGACATCTTGACCTGGATCATATCCATAACATGGAATGTTCCCTGGCTCAGAAGCTGGAAGTGCAGGTCTGCACCCTTGCTGTAAGTCTTCAGGCTCCGCAAAGCCCCTCCCTGCCACTCAAGCCCTTATCAGTGGGTTGGTTGCTGCCTCTAGGGTGGGATCACCTGAGGCAGAGGAAGCACTGGACACTGGACTTTGGCCCTTGGGTCCTGGCTTCAGCTGTGGGAGCTCCAGGTGACAGGGTCCATCCTGTGCTGGGATACAGACCATTGCTCAACGAGCCTAGCATTCACCTCCCACTTGATCAACTAGCACGAGTCTCTGGGAGGCCTGTAGAGTGAGACATCATTAACACAGAAGAAGATTTGTGTTTTGGGGTCCACCTCAGATTCCAGTAGCACCACTGTGGGCCCCAGTCTCCAGCTTCTCCCTCAGTATCTCCATGAGGGAGGGTTTCCATCGCCAGCCTAGAAGCAAAGGAATCCAGGGAAGTTTCCAAAGATCCACCCATGTGATCTGTCTACATTGGCTATGGTCCACTTCAGCTTGGTACAGTGGTCCTGGGGCACACACTTGCTTAACTTTTAGCAGCTTGGGTACCCTGATGACATTGGTGATTGTTATTGTCTAAAACTGTATCCTCTCACATGGTAAACACCAGCAGTGCCCAGGCACAAATAATGTGAGTTAGAATTACCTAAAAATTAAAAACATGTTTTATCAGTTACACTAGCTACATTTCAAGTGTTCAGTAGCCACATATGACGGCTACCCCATTGTACAGCATAAATATAGACATTTATATTGCCTTAAGAAATTATTTTGCTTAACACTGCCCTAAATATGGACAAGTGTTTCCTCACAGTCAGAGCAAAAACCTCACCAGCTGTTGGTCTGGAAAACTGGGTGTGACAGGAGGTCAGAAGCTCTCCTGCTGGTGCAACCACTGTGGTCCTCAGATCTGCTCTGGAAGAGTTTCCAAAATAACTGGAATGATCCTAGGCTGACAGATCCAGAAAGAAGTCCCTTGGATTTCCACCCCAGCCCCTGCCATTATGCTCAGCAGGATTTCTCACAGCCTTTGCTCTCTCTTCCAAAACTACATTTTCAGCATTTCACATGGATTTCAGAACCTAATTCCTAATTGTTTTGTGAGCAACATCTTTTCTGGATATCCTTCACCCTCAACCTTGGGACTGGTTTTGTTGAGGAGAGATATCACTCTGTGTTCCCTATAGAATCTGGCCAACTGATGGATGTAGTAGGATCTGCTTCATTAATACCCATGAAAAGGCTCACAGTCAAGTTTGACTGGGACTCAGCATTTAAATTCCTATAAAATGCTAAGTCACAAACCAGCCATTAGATGGCAGACAAACCCCACAGTAAACATCAGAAATAAGCCTGATCTTAGAAATAGTAGGAAAGTAAGAGTGATAGAGTCCCGTTATCAGCAGGGATCCCCTAGGGCTAAAAGGCGGCCTCAGGTGTGA